TATCGGAATTGGCTTGATGGGGTTTTGGTCCTCGTTTCTGTAGGTTCCGGGTTGATTGAGAGTCAGCCAGCAGGATTTGGTCTCAGTGACTGGCCAGGCCATGGTCGGGTGAAAAGGACATGTGACTTGGGTGCTAGGAAGCTGGAGCTCCTTTCTGCCCTCCAGAAAACCTCTCAAGTTCACAAGCAATTTCAGCGTGTTCTTTGGGTCCATTTTTGAAAGCTAGCACCTGATTTTATATTTTCTACCAATAGCTAATTCCATTTCAGCACTCCCCTGAGAAACAGAGTTCCTTACAAGTGAAACTCTGCTTTAGAGGGAGTCCAGAAATTAACAGAAATCGGGCACAGCCCCCACCACTTCCACACACTCAGGATGCCAGAGACACCTGTCACACCCCGCGGAGACAAATCTGGCCAGCATCCGGTTTGGACTAGACGGTCAGGGCAGGAAGGAAAAACTGTGCTCGCTGGCTTACTCCAGCGCTAAGGACTGGAGACGGCTGCGTTGAACTTTGTCCTGGGTGGAGGCAGCTGCTGGATCCATTTCCCTGGATCCTGTGCCTGCCCCTTCCCCCTTCCTGGGCATTTTGGACTCTTTTCCCATGGCTTGAATCTGACGTAGGGAAGTGACAGTTGCTAAAGAACCCAGCATGACAGAATCAGATGAGCAGGGCCTTCAGAGCTAGCTAACATGGACAGCACTTAATCAAGTGGTGGACCCCCCAATCCCTTCCCAAACCCAGTAAGGAAATATGATTCCCAGTGCCATTGAGCCAGCTAGCAACTGCTAGCACCCAGCTGTCTGCCGTCCTAACTCACCACCACCTTGTGCCCTCCCTGTACTAAGGCCCAAACAGGTTGCTTTTAAGTCGGTTCCAACCCCTGGTGACATCAACTGCAGCTAGGTAGAACCGCACACTCCTCAGGGTCTTCAAGGCTGCCTTTCAGGAACAGATCGCCTTCCCAGGCACCTCTGGGTGGGGTGGGGGGCTGGGATCCAAACCAGAAACCTTTTGGTTAGTAGTCAACCACTTAACCATTTATGCCACCCAGGGACTTCACCACATAGAAAGTGCTACACTGCTGGCAACCCACAGAGGACATCCAGTTCACAGGTGTGGTTTAGCCTATGTAGCATTATAAAAAAAAAATTATGATTACCAGTTCCTCTTAATATGTGTCTGTGGAGCTCGCCTTGATTATTAGGAGATCTGGGACCAGCAGGCCGGCCTATTGTTCCCATGGGCATGCGTATTCCATGCACTGGACTCGTGTATATGCCTCTCTAGTCTCGTGAGGGCTCTAGAATGCTGATTGCAGCACCGCCATACCATCTTACCCAGTGCTCACTTTCTCAGAGTGGCTCAGAGAAGCTTCCTAGAAAAGGCCACCCTCAATCTTCTCCCACCCACCCACCCACCCCCAAGGTTACTTCGTGGGATAGCCCTGGCTTCCTCACATTCATGGTCCTAATTCCAAACTACTGGAAAGAGTTTTGACAGGTGACCTGAGTTCCTAGCCCAGCTCTGATCCCAGTTGAGCCGAGCCTCCCTGGTTCTTAGTATTC